GCAGCCAATATGGAAAGCAGTATGGAGATTCCTTGGAAAGCTGGGAATGGAACTACCATTTGACCCAGCTATTCCCCTTCTCGGACTATACCCAAAAGACCTAAAAAGAGCAAACTACAGAGACACAGCTAATTCAATGTTCATAGCATCACAATTCACAATAGCTAGACTGTGGAACCAACCTAGATGCCCTTCAATAGATGAATGGATAAAAAGAAATGTGGCATTTATACACAATGGAATATTACTCAGCACTAAAAAATAACAAGATCATGGCATTTGCAGGGAAATGGATGGCACTGGAGCAGATTATGCTAAGTGAAGTTAGCCAATTCCTAAAAAACAAATGCCAAATGTCTTCTCTGATATAAGGGGGGTGACTCAAAATAGAGTAGGGAGGAAGAGCATGAAAAGAAATTACCACTAAACAGGGAAGGGAGGTGGGAGGGCATGGGAGGGAGAAGGGGAATTGCACAGAAGATGGAAGGAGACCCTCATCGTTATACAAAATACATATATGATGGTGTGAGGGGGAAGAAAAAAAAGAGAGAGAAATGTGTCACAGTAGATTGGGTAGAGAGTTGATGGGAGAGGAGAGGTGGGGAGGGGGGATAGGAAGAGCAGCAGAATACAACAGACACTAGTATTGCTGTATGTATATACATGGCTGTATAACCAATGTTATACAGCAATCTGTACACGTGGAAAAATAAGAATTCATACCCCATTTGAATCAAATGTATGATATGTCAAGATCATTGTATTGTCATGAGCAACTAATTTTAAAAAAAGAACCACCATACATTAAGATTTTTTGTCCCTTCAATCAGAATGCAAATATCAGGAATATGAATAATATACCTGGTGCAGTGGCACAGCCTACAATCCCAGTGGCTTGGAAGGCTGAATTCAAAGCCAGCCTCAGCAACTTAGTGAGACCCTATCTCTAAGTAAAATATTAAAAAGAGCTGGGGATGTGGCTCAGTGCTTAAGCAAACCCCTGGTAATGTAATAATAATAATAATAATGAGGAGGAGGAGGAGGAGGAGGAGGAGGAGGAGGAGAAGGAGAAGAAGAAGAAGTAGTAGTAGTAGTAGTAGTAGTAGTAGTAGTAGTAGTAGTAATAATAATAATAATAATCCTGGCAAGGATGTGGTGAAAAAGATCCACTAATGCAGATTGATGGGACTGTAAAATTAGTACAACCACTTTCTCTAAGATCAAGACAGGAACAACACAAGACTATTTACTCTTTTGCTACTTCATTCTTCTGAGTATATTTTGGTTAAGCACAGGACTCCAAATCTGCAGTTATTTTGTTTCTCCTTTAGAAGATATCATTAAGTTGCCTTTTGGCTTCCATTGTTTTTAATCAGACCTTTTGTGCATTTCTGATGGTTTGTGTTGATATAGTCTAGTCTTTAGGTACCTGGTTATTTATGACTGCCAAGCATTCTATTTTCAATATCTTATTGCAGACATAATTTGAAATTTATGGAACTATCTTCTTCTTCTTAAAAAAAAAAAAAACTAACTATTTGCTTCTGCCAGGATCTTTGGAACATTAAGCACAGAATTATCACCTCACTCCAATTTTAGAGAACATGATGATTCACAACTGAACTCCAATCCCTATAAGAGCCTATCTACTTCAGTTACCCATATTCCCAGGGTGCAGACATCCAGGGTTCTAATCCAAAGCTGAGGAATTGCTGGTAAGGTTCACCACCTTGGTGGGCCCTTTTCTCAAATCTGCCTCCCTAGTTCTGAGAGGCTGTCACCTGCTCCCTCTAGAACTGGAAACATTGGGTTTCTCTCCCCAGGGCTCCATCCTCTTCTGTATCCCTAGTAATTTTTAGTAAACTTTGTGGATCTCCCAAGACTCCAGGAAGATTATGTCGATTAAATTCTTCAGGGGCTGGGGTTGTGGCTCAGAGGTAGAGCACTTGCCTAACACGTGTGAGGCACTGAATTTGATCCTCAGCGCCACATAAAAATAAATAAATAATGTAAGGTATTGTGTCCATCTACAACTAAAAAATTATTTTTTAAAAATTCTATATATTAGAGTAAATCTACATATTCTACAGAACATTACATTCAGCTTTTCTACAGGTACATAGTGGAACTGCTGGCCTCAATTACCTATTCCATCACTAACAGATCTGGAAGTCTTCAAATAAACCTCTCATTTATTAGTGACTTTAAAAACTGAACACAATCCACATTCAATAATATTTACTCCTTTAAAGTACACATTTCACAAAGTTTTAGTATACTCAGAGATATACTAAAACTTTTTGTAAGTTTTTTTTTAATATTTTTAGTTGTAGATGAACACAATACCTTCATTTTATTTATTTATTTTTATGTGGTGCTGAGGATGGAACCCAGTGCCTTACACGTGCCAGGCAAGTGCTCTGTCGCTGAGCTACAACCCCAGCCCTTATACTAAAACTTTTAAGGATCCTAAAACTTTAAATTCCACAACATTTTGTCACCTGCAAAAAGAAATCCCATGCCCACTCGTAGTAGCAGGCATTACCACCTCTCAACCTCTTGTTAACCACTAATCTACTTTCTGCCTCTATGGATTTGCCTATTCAGGACATTATATGTAAATGAAATTATAAATATGTAGTCTTTTATATATGGCTTTTTTTTCACTCAGTACAGTGCTTTTAAAGTTTACCAATGTGGTATCATGTATCAGTACTTTATTTCTTTGTTGTTGCTGTTGTTGTTACTTAAGTATTTGATTGAATGGATGGATATACCATATTTTGCTTATCCATTCATCAGCCGATGGAGATTTGGGCTATTTCCACTTTGGGGTTATTCTGAATAATGCTGCTGAGAACATTCATATACACATTTTTTTTTAATTTTTAAACTGTTGATAGAACTTTATTTATTTATGCGCAGTGCTGAGAATTGAACACAGTGCCTCACACATGCCAGGCAAGTGCACTACCGCTGAACCCCAGCCCGAGCCCCCATATACACACTTTAGTGTGGAAATATTTTCATCTATAATATAAACCTAGGAGTAGCATTGTTGGGTCATATGGCAACTCTGTGTTTAACTTTTGGAGGAATTTTCCTGCAGTAATGTTTGTGAGTCTCAATTTCTCCCCACCAACATATCTAATTGTCTGTCTTTAACCATCCTAGTTGGCATGAAATAATATCTCCTTATAATTTTGCTCTATATTTCCTTAATGACTAATAATGTTGAGCATCTTTATGTGATAATTAACTAGTTGTATAATCTTTGTAGAAATGCCTATTCAAATATATTTCCAATTTATAAACTATATTTTTTATTGTTGAGCTGTAAGAGTTACTTGTACATTTTAGACACTAGTCCTTTATCAGATATATGATTTGCAAATATTTTCTCCTATCCTATGGATTGTGTATTCACTTTCTTGATTATGTCCTGTGAAGAATAAAAGGTTTTAATTTTTATGAAGTTCACCTTTCACTGTGCTTTTGGTGTTAAATCTGAAAAACCTAGTACAAGATCACAATGATTTACAACTACATTTTCTTCTGAGAGTTTAATAGTTTTAATTGTGAAACTGAGGACTTGGCTCTATTTTGAGTTAATTTATATACATATATATATGCATACCTGTTCATATATAGGAAGGTAGGGCTCCAATTTCATTCTTTTACACACACACACACACACACACACATATATATATATATATGTCAGTTGCCCCAGCATTATTTGTTGAAAAATCTATTCTTTCACCACTGTCTTGGCATCATTGTCAAAAATGAATTGACCATAATGAAAGGATTTACTTCTGTACTCTAAATTTTATTTCACCGATCAACATGTCCATCCTTAAACCACACCATACAGTTTTAATTACTGTAGTTTGGTAGTAAGTTTGGAAATGTGACTGGGAGCCCTCCAACTTTTTTTTTTTCCAAGATTATTTTGCCTATTTTCTGTCCCTTATATTTTGATGTGAATATTGGGATCAGTTTTCTATAAAAAAAAAAAACACAGCTGAGATTGTGTTTAATCTGTATATCAATTTGGATAATTATCAGTACATATTAGCAGCTATCTTAACAATACTGTTTTCTAATCCAAGAACATGAAACTACCTTCATTTAGGTCTTTAATTTCTTTCAATGATGTTTCATGGTTTTCAGTGTATAGAATTTTCTTAATTTTATTTTCAAATTATTCACTGTTAGTGTACAGAATATAATTGATTTTTGTATAATGATCTTATATCCTGCAACCTTGCTGAACTTGTTTATTAGATTTTTTTTTTTTTTTTTTTTTGGCAGATTCCTCAGGATTTTCTAAGTAAAAGATTATAACATATATAAATAGAATTATATTATTTCTTTCTCTGCAATTTAGATGTTTTATTATTTCTTGTCCTTGTTTAATGAGTGACCAGATTATTTAGTGAAATCTGTGTTATCCTTAGATTAGTTTACAAGGAAGAATTTTAAGTTGTTTCATCCAATGGCATATGCTACTTTACAAACAATAAGATTTCCATTTTTAGGCAGAAGTTTTCATCCTGTCACAACTACTGAAGATGGTGGTATTCTTTGGGAGGAGAGGCTTAAGTAGATGATCATTAAGACCTTTATATTTTCTGTGATAGTCAAGAACCCTGGTTTAAATGTTGCAATTTTGATATAATTTAGATCACTTTACATCTTATAAGTAAACATTACAAAAAGCTACTTTTCATTTCTAGATGTGTTCACAAAAAAACTGTCAGTGTTTTCCTAGCAAAGAGATCCTCTGAGATTGCCATTTGAAAGTATTTTCCTGAGTAGTCACATATCTGGTAGCTTACTTTATAAACAATTGGGAAAAGGGGTTGCTTTGAAGTTCTATATTCTTCAAGTATCTGATTTAAAATACTAAAATAAAGTCATTCATTTTCAAAAGTTCCTCAATTCTTATTTCAAAACAGAAAAATTTAGTGAAATAATTGAGATTTAAAACTCACCAGAAGAAATCTTACCAGCACCTTTATAGTCAACAGAAAATGCAGATGTGACTCCATTGGCTGACCCCAGTTCACACATAGGAATTTGATAAGGGGGCCTCAGCTTGATTTCCATCTGCATGTCAGACAGATTTATCTTTGTTGAAAGAGACCTGGGATTATTATATCGCTGCTTGGTCCTCTGAATGAAGTTATCTATGTAAAATAAAAAATAAATTTCCTTGCAGTCATTTGTTAATTAAATAATTTGAGAGTGTGATATTTATGGTCAGTAAATTTTATAGATAAACAGTTTAATTTTTTATTAAAAATTATTCAATTTGTCAGGAATTTTCAATATTATTTCAAATAATATATCAGAGAACCATCAATTTTTACTCCAAAAATTATACTCTAGAAATTAGTAATTATAATTAAACTAAGGGTTTAACACTCCCTGAAGGTATTACATCCACTTCAAGGAACTACAAACAAAAAAACAGCTTTTAATTTTAAACCAAAGTCTTAATTTATAGGAATTCTTATCTCATGAAATATTAAATCTGGATATAATTACACAAGAACACATACTATAAATTACATGTTTTTATAAATATGTTTTCTAATACTGCTTATGCCATAAGAATGTGTGTTTTAAAGAATAAATATTGGGCTGGGTTTGTGGCTCAGTGGTAGAGCGCTCACCTAGCACATGTGAGGCACTGGTTTCGATCCTCAGCACCACATAAAATAAATAAATAAAGTAAAGGTATTGTGTTGATCTACAACTAAAAAAATTTTTTAAAATAATAAATGTAATAAAAACAATAAAAGATATTTCCTAAATATCTTCCAAGTGGAATTTTATTTTTACTATTTGTACCTTGGGGTCTTCCCCCACCCTTCTTGTATATTAGGAGTTGAGCAAGCTACTGCCCACAGCAAATCTAGCCTGCTGTTTTTGCAAATAAAGTTTTATTAGACCATAACTACCCTCATTCATTTATGTATTGCCTATGGCTGCTTTCAAGCTACAATAATAAAGCTAAAGAATTGTGGCAGAGACTGTATAGCCCTTAAAGTCTAAAATATGCACTCTCTGGTCCCTTCCAACAAATGTTTGCCAACCACTATTATACATTAAGCAGCCTATAAAAGATTATCACATAAACACAAAACTCTGAATCTCTAGCTTATATATTTCTCATTGAGAAACTGTCCTCTGGAATTAATTACTTGAACTAATAATCACAATCCCCTTCACAGTTCAAAAACATTTTTTTTAAATAGGCACTCAAATTAGGTAAGAAGTTGCCATAACTTATAGATCATTTACCAAACTATTCCACTAAAAACAAGTTAGCAGAAGTCCCTCTACCCCTGGCCAGTATTATATAAAAAATTGCTTATGAATGGTTGGAGACAGGATAATAAAAAGGTTAAAAAAATCAGGCCCTTACCAAATTCAATGAAACAGTATGGTCTGACAGCAGTATTTGTCTTCATCATGTTATAAGTAGTAATGAACTCCTTCTGAAGCTCATCCAGGAAAGAGAAGGCGAGAACATTTGGGTAATTTTCAGTGCACAACATCATGTAGCTCACTCCCAGAGAGCTAATAAAACTACAGTGTAAAAAACATTGGTTTTAAAATTTCAAATTAAATCAAGGTAATTCGTTGCTTCACAAGACTGGCTCTATACATCATAAACTGTTGCTACAGTGGCAATGAAGGTATTAGCATTTATTATGTATTCCAGCAAAAAAATAAAATAAAATAAAGTAACCAAAATATAATACTATTTTAAGTTGAGGTTTAAAAACAGCAGACAAAAATAATAGAATGTGCTACAGAAGGTGACACACTGTGGTTCTAACATTTCAGTTACTTATCATTCCAGGTAGAAAGCAGGGCAAAGGATATATAAATAATAAGCATTATAGATTCTAAGATCTCTAACCCTTCACAAAGCTAGTAGAAATTAATATATTTGAGTCAAGAACTATTTAAGAGATCCTGATGAAAGTTATCGACATTATTCCCAGAAGGATGCCCAAACAACACAGAACTTTGCACACAATTTCAGAGAAGTCACTGATCTTATGAAGTTGTCACTGACCCCAAGAATCAAATCCTTTACACAATAATGAATTATGAATCATTGGGGGGGATTTATTAGTTCATAACAACAACAAATACATAAAAGGGAGAAAAAGGAAAATTCTTGCTTACAGCACAATGCTGAACACTGACTAGTAAATAAGGAGGTATTGCTATCATTGGGAAAAACTACCATTTTACAACCAACATAGTAAAAATTTAGATCAGGCTTATACAATCATGTATATCTAAGAGGAAATTTTGATGAGCATCAGTATAGTTGAATGGTTTAAAAAAGTCTTCCAGTAGAATATTTATTAGTTCTAAAAGGAAAATATTACATTGTGGAAACTAGACAACATATTAACAAAGTATTCTAACATAACTGATGAGGGGCAGGTGGGCAGAGCACCTCCAAATGTGAAATCCTAAGAAACATCATCTATGTAGTATTTTGAGAATGCATAATCTAAATCTAATCAAAAACAACAGAATGACCAACATTCTATTTTTTAAAGGATGAAGTATATTCTTTAAAAATCTCAATGTTGTAAAAAATATAAAAATTACAAAAATGTTCACAATCAAAGGAGTCTAAAAAACTATGAAAACTAAATGTCTAGTCTACATCCTATGCTAAAGAGAGGGTAAAATGCCATAAAGGACATTTCTGGGGTCAACTGAAAAATTGGAAAACAAGTAGATTAAAGTATGTAATCAATATTAATTTTATTACAACTAATTAATAAATGTGGTTAAAAATATCCCTAATTTTAAAAAATACACATTGAAATTGTTAAGAAGAAAGGGGCATGGTATTTGTAAGTTTCTCTCAAATGGTTCAAAAAAGAACAAATGAGATAGATAAAAAGGTAGATAAAATGCTAACAAAAGATGAATCTGGAAATGGGTATTATTTGTATTTTTTATTCATTATTATTACTCATATTACTTTTCTGTAAGACTGAAATTATTTCGAAAAAAATTAAAATTTTTTAAAGTTCTACTTTAAGCATTAAAACATTTAGATTAAGCATGTAAATTTATTAATATATTGAAAAAATTCTAGAATATAGTTTATACCATCCCCCCATATGAATAAGCAAAACACAAATTAAACCTTTTTAATGAGACACTTAAATATCCTTTTATAGTACTGTCAATATAACTACTCTAAATCAGGGATGGTAAACATAGCAAGCAGGCTGTTACTCCATACTTGTCTGCCATGCACTGCCCATCTATGACATATCTTCACTGCCAATCCTGATCCTGGAGCACTGGAGCACCTACACACACTTTCTTTCTAATAATGAAGGTGCATAATTTATTATCTTTAAATTTAATGTCTGAAGCAAATATGTTCACAATTCAAATTTTAAAGGAATCATAATGAAAGGGAACACTAAATTAAAATATTTTACCCCTTTCTTTGCTCAGAGATACTCAGCTCTCCTTCTCTCAGGCAATTCATGATTATTAACTTCTTATATATCTTTCTACTGAGAGGTATTGCATATTCAAGTAAATAACTGTGCCTTTGCACGTGTGTGTGAGAACACTTTTTAATAAAAGATCACCCCAGGCATTCAAATGATTTAAGAGTAGACAGGTGAGTTAGCACATGCCTGTAATCCCAGTGGCTCAGGAGGATGAGACAGGAGGATCACAAGTTCAAAGACAGCCTCAGCAAAGAGGCCCTAAGCAACTTAGCAAGACTCTGTCTCAAAATAAAAAGGGATAGGAATGCTCAATGGTTAACCACTGGGTTCAATCCCTGTATCAAAAAAGAAAATGATGTAAGAGTAGCACTTGGACTGGGGATGTGGCTCAAGCGGTAGCGCGCTCACCAGGCATGCGCGGGGCGCTGGGTTCGATCCTCAGCACCATATAAAATAAAAATAAAGATGTTGCGTCCACCAAAAACTGAAAAATAAATATTAAAAAAAAATTCTCTCTCTCTCTCTCTCTCTCTCTCTCTCTCTCTCTCTCTCTCTAAAAAAAGAGTAGCACTTATTAGTTAATTATCTATTATTAATGATGTGGTATATAGCAGTGATAAAATTATTCTAATCTTATGCTTCTAGAGTAATCTGGAATTCCTTTCTGAAGTTCCAATTAATACAATCATTTTTTTCAATGTTTTTCAAAATACAAATTGTGGCCCATTAGTAGGTCAAATACAAGTTGCAACCCATTAGTATGTCACAAAATTAGTTTAGAAGTGACATTTTCTAATTTATTTTCTTTAAAAATGAAATAGAATTTAATAGAAAATATTTGAATACCATTTCATGAAACTTCTATTCAAGTTTACTATATGTATATATGTAATAGTCACAAATTCAGCTGCATCTCTTCCCAAAGATCACAATCAAAAAATTTAGTCACAAACTTTTCATACATTTTTCTACAAATTAATATTTAAATCAAAGGCCAAAATACAGGTTTCTAAAGTGATTTTTTCCTCCCCCAAAATCTTCATTGTCATTATCAAAATTATTTGACATGTCATTAGACTTCAAATATATACCCCAATAAAATGAATACCTTGAACACAATTGGTGATTGCTTCTATACACTCAGAACTACCAAATGGCTAACTAGAAATTATAGTATTATCCTCAGGAATATGACTGAAATTTTGGTAACCATTTTTCCAAATTGATAAAGAGTGAGCCACAGCAGCTACCTGAAAGTTTATTTTGCTCATGCTAAATTTAACTAGAGAATTGTACATGAAATAAAGGAAATCCTGCTTTTTTGATTGTTAGCATTTACAGGAAGTCTTTATTTTACTATAATTGCATGATACTCTCTGAAAAAGCCATAAAGTGTTTTACATTATTATGGCTTTTCATAGTAAATTCAGCCTTTTAATGCTTTCTTTGAAATAAAAAGAATGTTTCCAAAGTATATACTGGCTCAATTGATTTGCACTCGTAATAAGTAAAACAAAGCAAACAACTAAAAAAAGAAAAGAAAAGAAAAGAAAAAAACCTGATTTTTCAAAGGTTACTGGAACAAATTTTGTTCAATACTGGGAATTGAACCCAGGTATGCTCTACCACTGACTACATCCCCAGTCCTTTTGATTTTTTATATTGAGGCAGGGTCTCACTAAGTTACCCAGGCTGGTCTTGAACTTGTGATTCTCCTGCCTCTACCTCTGAGTTGCTGGATTATAGGCATATGCCCCTGCACCCATCTGAGGACTACTTTTGAAGTAGTCTGAAGTCATTACAGACACTGCCACTCCAGCCTGAGAAGCATCAGGAACTCTGCATTCTGCACTTGTGATGTTCCCAATCCCATCTCCACTAGCCTTAAATTCTGACCTGGTTAACTCCAACTCATCCCTTACTTTCTTTCTTTCTTTTTTTTTTTAATATCTTTGTTTTTATTTGTTTATTTTTATGTGGTGCTGAGGCCGAACCTAAGGCCTCACATCTGTGAGGCAAGCGCTCTTCCACTGAACTACAACCCCAGCCCCTTATCCCTTATTTTCAAAAGTCCTCAGAGCACAAAATCTAAACTGATCCTGCCCTGATGGTTACAGCACTGTAGCTATTATTCTTTGTGAACTAGCCCAAGCTGTAATTGTATATGTATGTGTTTTTTGTTGAAATGTCTCTCTCAATCATAAATATGCTCCATGAAAGCAGGATGATTTCTATATTGTTCACCATTGTGTTCTTAGCACCTCGAATATTCTGTGTCTAGAATAAATAAGTGCTCAGTAAATGAGTGAATTAAAGAGTGCAAAAAATGGCATCATTTACTTATTTACCCACTAATTACTTGAATATATCAAGCATAGATAACTGTACAATCCTGTGTTATTTACACAAAGCCGAAGCTCAATAAACACTAGAATAATTGACAGAAGAGAGTACTATTTTACCTACTCTTCTGGTCACTGTTCCCCAGAAGGTTTCAGGGTCCAGGTCAGTGACCCTTCAACATATCCTAAGCAAGGAGTATTCTCAGAGGCCACGGAGATTTACTCACTTCTGCAGTGAGTACTCCCAGATGGCTTCACAGTTCTAGCAGACCTCTCTTTTCTCCCTTTATCACTGTTACTACGTATGCGTATGTGTACACTGCACATATGCACATGCTTGTAAGTACACACACACACACATCCCTCTTTTCTCCAACTTGAGTATAATTTTTTATATTGCCATCCTTTTATTCCTAATTTATTCTAATTTCTTAAAAAAAATTAATCCCCTTATACTTATGGGCTTTAGTGCCAATGGGGTTTGGCCTTTCTAGACACCACCTTTCCCGTGGCCAAGAAATTTATCCAATCTCATAACATCTTACATTGGCACTTACATTGCTTCTTTATATTCTTCCAGGACCAAGTGCATCCTGAACAAGTGGGACTGGTAAAAGTCCAACCTCTAGACAGGGATTTACTCCTTCTAATTACTTTGTTAAACAGCTAATTCTATCAAATGTTTAAGTTATATCACAAATGATTCCTAAAGTCCAACAAAAATAATAAATGGTTTTAGACATTAAACTTTTCTGATAACTAATTTTATATACAAACTGTCAAAGAAATTTTAACAACACCAATCAAACATTGAATTACATTACACCAAACTAATACTTAGTAAAAACAATGATTTTCCTCTCAACAGATCACAGAACATCTAGCACAGGTCTAGCATTCTACTTTAAATCTTTGCTGTCAAAGACAAGCTTCCTACCTGCCAGGAAGCTGCAATGCAATTACCAAGGACTTGAAACAATGATAGAAAATAAGAAAAAAAATGCATTTTACAGCATGCCCAATGACAAAATATATAGCAAACTATTTGTAAACTGACAGTAATAATTCATATTTTCATCATATATGACATACAATTTTCATTCTACAATTGTACCATTACACATAGAAAAATCTGTTCATCCTTTGTGGCCACATTTGCCCAGTGAATAGTTTTCCTGGGTGCACATTCTCTAGTAGGATGTGAAATCTTTAATCTACTGTTAAAATTGCTAAGAAAATTATTTCTTCCACACTGAATTCCACTAAAATAAAATGTTTATAAACTTTTAAATATTAAATTAAAAGGGTTGATATTATGAAAGTGAGCATGTCATATGGTTTTTATTACCACCAAAAATGTTCAACAGGAAATAAGTAGAAAACAATAATTCTGTTATTTGTTAGTGGGACAATAAGGAGACAAGAACCAGAAAGAGAGCTCAGTAACACTGGCTTTGTTCAACACTAAATCAGAAGCTCTACGTTTCTCTCACTTATTCCTTTTATATGCCCAACTTTCAATTACCCTCTAATAATGACCAGCATATCATGTACAAAAGTGTCCCATGAATAAAAAAATCCATTTAAACCTCATTAAATACAAAACAGCATTAATATGCAATATTCCAGGTAACTGCAACTTCTAACAGAATGCTAAAGGAAAAGGTGAGATAGTTTTAAGGAACTAAAGGTGATTACACCAGAGACTTGGATAAAAAACAGACTAAGCAAATTTTGCCTTTGACACCTTTCATTTCCTTTCCTGTAGAATTAATCTATCCCCTGGTTCACCCTTTTTCACTACCCTAACACCACCACACCCCAGGAAAGATTCTAACTTTTTTAGATAATTGATCACAAATAATCATTATATCACCAAAGTTTATTGCACCTAGATCTCTCTTCCCCACAGAAACTGTATTGAAAGAGTAATTAGGTTCTTAGGCAAGTTCACAAGAGCCTATTTAACACATATGGTGCTGAAAAGCTATGTGTTTTGTCATAATAAATAGTAAAAGAGTATTGAGACAAATTAGGAAAGTAGGATACACAGGTTCTCTCCTTGCCCCAAATGGCTTGGTAGCCACTGGAGGTTTGTATTCCCCTCTCACAACCTCTTTACCTGCCAAAGTTCTAGTCTCCAACAAGGTAATGTTGTCCCACTAAATTTAGGCTTAATGTATATTCTACTCCTCATTATTTCTCAAAATAAATAAATATATAAATAGGAGAGGATATTTCACTTATTTCTTTTACCTGGTTAATTTCTTTCTTCACAATAATTGAAAATAATTAGAATTAGGAATGCTCACTGTCAAGAAAGGGGTTAAAGGTAAAGGGCAGCAACTTTTTTTTTAATCAAATATGTGATTCCTGCAGTTCAGATATAGAATTTATTAGATTTATACTTCAAAAGAATTTCTTTATATCCCTAAGTCTCATCTACTTTATCTATAAAATAGAACTATCATGACTAAATACCCAGCATCCCTTTGGGGAATTTCCTCCAACCCCACCACCTATTCTACATAGCTTTAGAAAATCTGCCCATCAAAGGGCTGAGTGTGACCAACTAAAGAGTACTTCATCCCCTCGAACCACAATGATTAGTCCAAAACTGGGCCATGACAACAAGCAAAGCCAAATTGAAGTTTTGTTCTTGAAACATGGAGGGAGTAGTTTTTTGGTGGGACAGAAGTAAACCTGGAATTAACTGTGCAAGTGTTTTCCTGTCTGTGAATACCTATCTGAAAAAACAAGAGACTGTGGAAATAAAAGATTGCTGATTGGAACATCTGATAAATGCCACCCCAATCTTTCACAATACATTTTTTTCTTTTGGCTCACTGCATTTTTATTTTTAATGGCCTAAAAAACCAGATACCGCTTAATATTTAACAATGGAGAAATGAGCAAATAAACAATGGAGAAATGAGTAGAAAAATCATTGCACAGCTTTTATAAGTTTTTAATTTAAAAGTAAAATAACTGTATAAAACTGTATCAAGAACAATCTCTGCTACATTAAAAAACTCATCAGAGAAAAAAACTGGAAGGAAATATGCTAGGATAGTAATGATGTTTGAGTGTGGGATTATGAGTGATTTACTTTCTTTTAACTTTCTTGTATGTATACAACCAGAATAGTTAACTTGTATCACCTTGAGGAGTCTTTCTCCTTTGCCTAAATATGTATTCCATCAAAATTGGGGGAAGAATAAAGCAAAAATACTGAACACAATACTTTTTTTTCCTTTAAGCTTATATGAATTGTACATCTGCCCCCAGCAATGAGAAAGAGCTCTATTTATTAGCCATTCACAGAACTGTTGCAAAGCTTAATGATCATTGCAGATACTTAATAATTTGGTTATTGTTGAAGTTGTTACTTCTGTAATCAGAAAGTATCATCAAAGGGTAAAAAGAAAGCCCTGCTAGAGACTAAACTAAAAGACAAATAGGCTTAAAATAGCATTTTTGGCTGGAGGTGGCAGTTTGGGGACAAATAAAAAGTGACCCCTCGGGCAAGGAGAGAATCTAGGTGGTTCACAGCCATTATCAGACTTCAAGTGAACAGGCAATGAAAGAATTAACAAATTGTATTTCTTGCACTAAAATTCACAATAAGGTATGACTGACCTCCCAAATGGTATTTGTCTTTTCATAAAATCAATGTCTTTATGTTAAAAGACATCTCAAAATGTACAACTATCATTTTCAAACCCCGAAAAATCAATCACAAAATTTTAAGATCTCAGATGACACAACTTAATTTTCAAATGTTTACCATTAATGCATTAGCCATTGTTTTTTAAGTAATGAAATAAATTTATTCATTAAATATTTATTACAACTTCAGGAAAGTAGTCTTCCACCTATGAAACAGATGATTTTAAAATTTCTTATAAACAGAATCATAATATTGCCAAGGAATGTGAAAAGAAATCACAAAAATGGATATCCCTACACTCCACTCAACTCTGCCCAATCAACAAGATTTCTCCAAAGTTGAAACCTTTTGGAAAAAATGAAGACTTAATTCCATGACACTCTGAACACTGTCAAACTCCCAAAACAACCATCCCTCATTTAGCAGCTATGACAGCTATGACACCATGCAAGACACTGTGCTAGCAAAAGCCATGCTCTAGGGATTGTGTGCCACTAGCTGAAATGAAGTGCCCAGCCACTATGCTCAGATAAAATACATCATTTTCCCAACACACAAGAGAAGAAAATTAAAAGAATTTTTTTTAAATGTTACTAATTTCCTATTTTTTCTCTCTCAAAATTCTGGTCTTTTTCTGTCATGACAACTCGACTCTAATGTGAGGTATCATCTGATTTAGCATATAAATATACATTTAGTTACTAAGGTGCCTCAATTTCTATAGAAATTTGAAAACCATGATGCTAAAAGATGAGGAATTAAAAACAGTATAGGCCATGACAGGTCAATTTCCTCAATGAGCTACTAACCCAGTTAGAGCAAATAATGAATTTAAATTTTTAAAAAAATTTTTTTAGTAGTAGATGGAAACAATACCTTACTTCATTTTTATGTGGTGCTAAGGATTGAACCCAGTGCTTCACACATGCTAGACAAGCACTCTACCACTGAGCCACAACTCGAGCCCTGAATTTAAAATTTTAAAACAAAATTTAACAAATGACAAAAAAAAAACCCAAACAAGTTCTACATGTAACCTGTGAAGGGAATGAGATCATAAGAGAAATGTAACACTAGTAATGAGGAAGAAGGTGATTAAGAAATAGGCTATAAAATAGGCTTGGGAGGGAAGAGAAGCAATTACTGGGACCAGAAGAGACCCAGATATAGCCTGTGGTAGTTTTAGGCTGTGCTACAATGTTGCTACTATAGATCCCATGAGTTTTAACTGGCAAACTCCTGGTAGTTAGTTGCTCTGAGAATTTTAAAAGTCAGGTAACAAATAAATTGCCAGTTTTATATATTTCAGACTAAATTCATTGTCATATACTGTGAAAATCTCAATAAAAACCAAGACTCTTATCAATGATAGAAAATATATGAAATCCAGAGTCTTATCAGCAACTAGTTCCTTGTAAGGAACTTGTTTTCCAATCCTTTTTGAAAGCTTGGCTATAAAAACAACATACACAGAGGTTTGTTTGTGCATGGTTGTAAAAAGTTATGCAATCTAATCTTTTAGATATCTCGAAACTATATTCTTGGATCAGTTCAGATTAGACGTCTGCCAATTTATCCCACTCCTAAACTCTCTCAAAAAAACCTTCTTCATGCACCATACCATTTGCTTATACTAGGAAGATATAAAAATCATTAAAAGCTCACTAATATGGCTACTGGATGACATAATGACTACTATTTCGTATAACTTTAGAACATGATTATTGCCTGGAACAAGTTTTTCTAAACTAATCAAACCTTAATTTCTCTTGCAACCACTTTAACTTCATTAAAATGACAACCACTAGGCAAGTGATTCTAATGAAACAAATTGAAGTCTTACTTAATGTTATAATGTCCAGTTTTCAGTGTACATCTATCAGGAAGTTGAGCAAGTTTCCTTGAAAGCATTTTAAAATACTTTCTGCACTCCTGCATTCCTGTGCTTTGTTCATAATCAGTAGAAGCAGAAAGTGGCAGTCCATCTCTGACACGAATGACAGAGGCAGATAAAATCACAGACATTTCAACCGACAGAGAAGACCTAAAACAAATTGAACAACCTGGGTTAGATAAAAATTAGAGTCAGCTGATAAACATATGCAAAAGCATTTAACTCACTAGTAATCAAAGAATACTAATTAGGACTAGGGATGTGGTAGAACACTTGCCTAGCATGTGCGAGGTCCTGGATTCAATTCCCAGCACTGCAAAACGAAAAAAAAAATACTAATTAAAACAATGATATATAATACTTTACTTAACAAATTAGTTTTTAAAAAATTAATCATTAATCATTGCTTCTATCTGGCATTCTCATATAAATATACAGGTGAAAGTAAAAACTGGCATAAATATCATTCTCAAAATAATTTGGCAATGTTTGACAAGGGTTTTAATGCATTTATACACTTGACCTCAATAAATTTTACTATATAACCTATCCTGAGGAAAATAATTAGAAATCCAGATAAAATTTTAAACAGAAAGACATTCTTCCACTCAAATAACTGAAAACAACCTAAAATTTTACAACAGTATAATGGTTAAGTAAATTATAGTATACCCATATAGCAAATATAGTCTAGTAACTAAAAGTTACTGCTGTGAACAAAGGTTTACTAATGTACTAAAATGCTGATATATTAAATAAAGAAAAAAAGCAGGATAAAAAGTGCATATTTTTTTCACAAAGATAAAAAGAAGGAAAAGGGAGGGGGAAATGAAGAGAGAGACACAGGAAAGATGCCAAAATTAGAATAACGCTAATGTCCAAGAAAGAGTATTATGGGGATTTGTTCTATAATTTCCTACATATTCATAAAAGGGACATATATTACCTTCATAATCAGAAAATAATTTTTATTTAACATAAATCCTAAAGCTTAAGGAATACTGGTTTTCATGTTCTCAATCCTTTTTACCAAAAAGTAAATCCTAATAGTCTCTTTTATTAGATTCTGGTCATGCTTTACAAAAACAAATAAAGCATTTTACAGATCTGAGTCTGAAAGAAACTGGGTAAATAGTCAAACTTTGATAAAACACATTGTAGTTCTCAAACTTTAGCTTGTGTAAGAAGTTGGAAGTCTAGTTATATAGATTACTAGGCCCACCCCCAAAGAATTCTGATCACTGACTGTGGGTGGGTTTGGGAATCTTCAATTTTAACTAATTCCCAAGGTAATTACTATTCTTGTTAAGAGCCATACTTTGAAAATTGCTGAATTATACTTAACATATGCTTGGGAAGTATCATCACATGCCTCATTTAATCTATCAATCAAACTATCCATTCCTAGGCTGTCCTGCTTAAATTTCATTTTGGCAAAAGAAAAATAAATTCCTGATTTTTTAAAGACAAAAACTCAATTTAAACCTGCTCGTTCTTTTCTTCCACCTTTATTTATTTGTTTAGCCTTTCTATGTTAGCTATATCTTTCTTAATTAGAGTCAGAAGAAGAAAATTGCACCAAAATCTAAAGCCATTGCATGTCTAACATTGTTAATTAAAAAAATTAATGAATTAAAACATGTCTACCACCTGAGATTAAGTGATAACTTCTCTGTCAAGCCATCAGAGTGCTTCTTTACTAGCAGTAGAGGCTAGTGGTAAAAAGTCAAAAACATGATCTGTCTCAGAGACTAAACTAATCTCTACCTGTCCACTTCAGTTAGGTCAATATTATCCCATTCCAAAAATGAAAAAACAGCAACACATCAAAAACTGAACAGAAAACCAATTGGTATAGTTTAGAAATCAGGAATTGACAGTTTTCATTGCTGTAGGAAATCCAAATCTGACTGCCCCATCCATAGTGGCAACTGATCTGACAATAAGAATTAACCCAATAAAGCTAATGTATTAAACTGACTACTTTCTTTTCTCTTTTCATGAGAAAAGGGGAGTAATCTCTAGGTATTAATATGTCATTACCCTTTAACGTTTTTCTCCTATAATAACTTACAAGGAAAAAAACAGAAATAAATAAAACCTAACTTTTTACTACAGTGAAATCTTCAAACTAAAGCCCCAGTGTTTCATATAAAAATCAGCATTTTTTTTCCAGTTTCTTTTTTTCTCCTAAAAGCAGTATCAAGAGAAAGCTAGGCCAGGTAAGCCAGGTATGATGGCACATGCCTTTAATCCCAGTCACTTAGGAGGCTGAGGCAAGAGAATGGCAAGTTTGAGGCTAGCCTCAGAAACTTAGAGAGGCCATAAGCAATTTAATAAGACCATCTACTCTTGGAAGACAGAAAGATATGATTCATTCCTAAAACATATACTGAGAAAACTTGTTCTTATCAACTTATAAATTCTACTCATGGAATAAATATTTATAGAGTATCTACTGTATGCTAGGGATTATGCCAGACATTTGGAATACATCATCCCTACCATCAAGAAACATCCTCCAAATAGAGAAATTCAGATAAAAAGAAAAAATACAACACAGGCTTTACTGACCACCAGTTTATTAAATGGAAATTTTTAGTTAAACTTGCATTTCAAATATTTCTAATACACACTTTGGGTTGGTAACTTAAAACAGAACATAGTAGTTATATTCCTGCCAAAATCCTTAAAAGGTTGTTAGAGGACCATTTTCATTTATCAGTAAAATAGGATTATTCCTAAGGAAAAACCAAATAAATCTCTTTTTCCCAGAGTAATGTGATCTAGAATCCAGAGCAGCTGAATTTAAGGAAACTGAGATGATGCTGGGAACAATGGCTCATGCCTGTGATCCCAGCAAATGGGGAGGCTGAGGCAGGAGGATCACAAGATGAAGGCCACCTCAGCAACTTAGTGAGTCCCTCTCTGAAAATAAAAAATAAAAGAGACTGGGTTTATAGCTCAGTGGTAAAGTGCTCCTGGGTTCCATTCACAGTAGGAAAAAAGACAGAGAAAGAAAAAAAAAAAAGAAGAAGAAGAAACTGAGCTGTCCAATGAACAATGCCAGGCTTAACTAATTTGTACAGACTCCAATTACCTTAGGATAAGCAGCAGTGTCTCCTCTATTAACTCAACAAACATAACCCCCTTTTTTTCCCCTTTGTATTCTTACTGTAGTTTATTTTAAAACAAACAAAACCAAAACTCCAATGTTATTTGAACTATGCTAGTAGTAAAAGGAATCTGCTTATATCAAGGCCAAGCTAGGATTAGAGTCCAGGGAGGGTCATGGTTGATAAAACCAATGAAGAACCAATGGAACTAAGAAAAGCAAAAGGTTACAATAGGGCTGGGGTTGTAGCTCAGTGGTAGAGTGCTCGCCTCGTACGTGGAAGGCACTGGGTTCAATTCTCAGCACCACATAAAAATAATAATAAAGGTATTGTGTGCATCTAAAACAAAAAAAAATAAAAAAACAATAAAACCAGTGATGTTTAAAAAAAAAAAAAAAGGTTACAACAATTGCATGGGAAGCTTTGAGAGAAGTTTTTATTTTAGCAAGGCCACAAATAAACTGTTAAGCCGCTGGTCCATTTTTCCTCACACTTAACAAAGAAAAATATTACATCTGCCTTTAGATCCCAGAAAATTCATATACTATCCGAGTACTCAACCGTATTTCCTTTTCTTTCCCCAACAGCAACTACTGGAAGGAAAAGTCCAAATTAGACTCTATGTAGATGTGTAAAGGCTGGGAAAAATAAACTCCCACAATGCCAAATGACTAAATGGTTTGCAACCATCCCAAGAAAACAAGATGCTGACTCCTCTCCTTCAGCTTATGAGGTAATGATTATAGGCTCAAGGTATCAGGAAGGTATTGCTCAAAAAGCATCAAACATGAGTAATTTGGGGTTTTGATTTTTGGTTTTCTAGTACTAAGGCTCAAATCCAGGGATACCACTGAGTTACACCCTAAACACTCACTGCCTCTTTAAAGATAAAAAACATTTTATATAAAAGTCACTTTTAGTTCATCATTTACCAAACTTTCGTCACCTAAGCACCACTTTCAGGATATTTACCTTATCTGTATCCCACCTGTACTAATACTATATTTACTAAATATTAGTCTTTCAACTGACTTTTGCCCCATATTTTTAAACAATAACATCTGTGAAATCAGTTTTTTTTAAAGAGAGAATTTTTTAATATTTATTTTTTAGTTTTCGGCATACACAACATCTTTGTTCGTATGTGGTGCTGAGGATCGAACCCAGGCCGCACGCATGCCAGGCGAGCACGCTACTGCTTGAGCCACATCCCCAGCCCTGAAATCAGTTTTGAGTCATCAGGTTTTTCTCCCTATTTTAATTAAGAAGAAATATTTTTGTTTCATTTAAATATGGGTGTATGAAAACTTTGGAAGAATTATTTTTTGAATGTCCATCTGCTTATCCAATTATCTTATGTATGTGATGGTACCAAAGTTTGAGAAACACTAACATGGTAGACATTAATTTATTAAAAGTACTAGCTGAGTCAAGCATGGTGGCACACACCTATTATTCCAACAGCTCAGGAGGCTCGGGATGGGAGATTGCAGGTTTGAAGCCAGCCTCAGCAACTTACACTGAAAGCAACCTAGTGAGACCTGATCTCAAAACTAAAAAAAAGAAAAAGAACTGGGCATGTGGCTCTGTGGTTAAGTGCCCTTGGGTTCAATCCCCAGTAACAAAAATAGTACTATCTGAGGTCTGTGTACTTAAGGAGTTTAATGTGGGGATTGGCTACGTAACTGTGAGGCACAGATGGGCAGAATGATTTAACTTAATTGGCTATATTAACTGTGATACACAGGGTGGGAGCAGAATAAAAAGAGGGTAAGGGGAGAAAGTACCAAGGTATCAGAATTTATTCTGTTGCTTTGCCTGTGCCCCTACCTCATGAGCAGTCTCAGATACTAATTACAAGTGCTTACACTGCATAGTGTGTATAAGACCTCAGGCTCCTCAACAGATTATACCCATATCTGGTAACAGGGGACCCAACATACGAGCAAATGTGTCCATGCCCAACATTTGTACAGCTCCACATAGTTCACATATACACAGGCATAACTTTCATTTTATAGATGACAAAACTGCACCTCACTTTTTTTTATTTTTTATTTTTGGTTGTCAGTGGACTTTTATTTTATTTCTTTATATGTGGTGCTGAGAATCAAACCCAGTGCCTCACACATGCTAGGCAAGCACTCTACCACTAAGCCATAACCCCAGGCCACTGCAGCACACTTTATCAGGTGCTAGCATATAGCAGAAATAGTATTTAAACCTAAGTTTCTAACATCTTTACATTATTGTTCTATATAAATCTCCCCAAACCAACAAGGGATAAAAGAGAGAGAGAGAGAGAGAGAGAGAGAGAGAGTTAAAAGAACCTATCTAGCTGCTCATTTTGTAATAATAATAAAAAAATAACAGCCTATGCTTTCTTCAAAAGGCAGGAGAACACAGTACTTAAAAGATCAGGCTCTGGTTCAAATCCAGGCTCTATCACATTCTAGCCATGTAACCTTGGGCAAACTTTGTCTTTCTAAATCTAAATTTCCTCACCTGTAAACTGATAGTCTATCTCTAACAACATCTACCTCACAGAATCATGTAAAGCACCTGACATTTGTAAAATACTAAAAGTACTACATTATGTATTTGCTATTCTTACTACTTACTGATTACCCTCTATGAAATAGGCACTTTCTATATGTTACCTCATTTAGGCCTTCCAAAAACTGTGAGGTGGGTATTATTAGTTCCATTTTACCTTTGAGGAAACTCAACCCAGAAAGTTTAAGCATTTTTTGTTAATCCCTACACTAGTAAGTAGGGGTTTGAGTGTGAAAAATTCTCACAACTCTGAGACATTGCTCGTAAATATACTGAAACTTCTTACATGTAGAAAACGGTCACAAGCACTTCTAGGTTTCTTTCATACATCAACATAAACTACTCAAGTTTTAATCAGTTACACATCAAAAACAAAACAACAATCAAACACACACACACACACACACACAAATGATGTGATCTTTCTCAGCACAGCAAACGCCCAGATGTCCCATCAACTTAGGGCATGGTCACAGGTGGCAGATTCAAATTCTAAACAATGTACGAGAAAGTGTAGATACAGTGTAGGTACTGTTCAGGTACTGCCTACTCCTTACAATCTTGGCATATGAGCAAATATCAGAAACATGGAATGTGATTCAGAGTTATATATTCAGTTATTCCACCTATCAGTACCCTGTCACGTCCCAGTGTAGTAGCTGAAGACTTGGCTCTGGGCTGGGCTTTAGCTTATCTGAATAGGCATAAGAGAGGGTAGTTCAGAAGCTCTCCACCTGCCCAGGTGGATGTTCCGATCCAGGGGACTAAGCAGCAAAAGAAAGGTGTAAAGCTGTTTTCACGGGCAGAGAGATTCAAACCAGCTCCGACTCGGCCTTCTATTTCCAATACCTCCACTTTTGAACCAATTGCTAAGGTCTGCCACCTCGTTCCCAAAGTGCCATCAACAAGGCCTCAATGGGTTTCTGGGAGCCAACATGGGAAGCCTTTAGCCTTTAGGTTCAAAACTCATTCAAACCCCACAAAAGGCAAAGTAAGCCACCGGTTCAAGTCCTATCCTGCCTAAAAGAAAGAGGAAATGCCACCTCAAGCCGTCTCGGGCCATCTAACAGCCTAGATGTGCTAGACATTTGGGGCCAGGGAGTCCCTACCACCACCTGCTGACAGCCCAAGGCGACCGTCTTTCCCCATGAGAAGCCACTCTCCGGGCTGCCCCGGGGCAGGCCTGACAGGGAGCAACCGCCGCCCACGCGGCCCACAGACCCAAGGTGCAGTGAGGACCAGGACCCTGCATCCCCGCCCCTCCAGAGACATTCCGGCTTCCACCCGTGGCACGGCTTCGGTTCCTGATGGGGGCAGGCCGTGGTGGAAAGAGAGAACAAAGGGAGCCGCCAGGGGTCCGAGCTACTCTGAGCAGCTAGCGAAGAGGACTGGCAGGAGCCGGGCCGTACCTGTCGAGCCGGGACCAGCAGCTCCGAGTGACGTGCCACGCAGTGCATTGTGGGACCGGGAGTGGCCTCTCGGCGGGGCAATCCCGAGTCCAACGTGGCTGGCGCCAGCGGAGTTAAGCCCCACCCCCGCACCCGGCACGCCCGGGCCAATCAGAATCCGTGGGAAGCACTTGCCAACCCGCCCACTTCCGGGACCTGCCTTAGTCCCGCCCGCTCCAGGAGAGATCCCCAGCCTCTTGTACACCTGCGCCGGCAGATTACCTAATCCTCTGAGAGAAGAACTATGTTGTCCCTCGGAAACAAAGCTAATATTCCCTCCCTGCCCTTCTATATCTAGAGGTAGTTTGTTTCTGACACGCAAACCTAAAGCAAGAGCTTATACGAGGGACAGGGAGAAAAGCACTCTCTGGATGAGCAAAGAAAGGACCTGCTCCAGTCTACCATACGACACTGGAAAGAATCTAACCATGGCAGAGAAGTGCCAATTGCTGACCCCATACCCTCTTCCAGACTTCACGTGATCATGCATTATTAAACAAGCATTCACTGAGTGTCTTACAAGCAAGAAACACCGTGTTCGACTTCTGTTACAGGAATGAACATAATATTCAAAGGAATTTAAGATGTCATGGGAACAAGAGACATTAAAACAGAAATTGTTACAGCAATATAAATGGGGATCAGTATTATGAAGAAAATTTTTTACTTGTTCTTTTAAAGATATATGACAGTAGAGTGTATTTTGATATATTACATACATGGAGTGTAACTTCCCATTTTTGTGGTTGTATTTGATGTGGAGTTTCACTGGTCATGCATTCATATATATGTATATGTATATATATATATATATATATATATATATATATATATATATATATATCCCATTCTGTCTTTCCTATTCCCATCCTGCTTCCTTCCCTTCATTCACCTTTAATCCAATGAACTTTAAAAAAAATGTTTCTAGTTGTAGATAGACATGATACCTTTATTATTTTTATGTGGTGCTGAGGATGAAACCCAGTGCCTCACACTTGGGGCAAGTACTCCACCACTGAGCTGCAACCTCAACCCATCCAATGAACTTCTATTCTTTCCTCCCCCACCCCTTATTGTATTAGCATCCTCATATCCGAGAAAACATTTGACCTTTGGTTTTGGGGATTGGCTTATTTCACTTAGCATGATAGTCTCCAGTTCCATCCATTTACCAACAAATGCCATAGTTTCATTCATGAAGAAAAATTAAAGGATGTAATGATAGATTAATTTTGGAATGTCAAAGAAAAGCCCGCTGAATTAAATGCCTTTTAAGCTCTAGAAATATTAAAGAAAAGTACAGTCCAAAGATGTGTGAGTCAGGGCGTGAAAGAATATGGAATGTTCTAGGCATAAAAAGGAAGTTGTGTGAAGGGTGGCAAGAAGTCTGAGCCGAGATGAAGCAAGAGTTAGATCATATTGGCTCTTTTTGGCCACACTATATATTTCAGAGTATAATTTGGAAAGTATCTTCAGGTCAATGGGCAGCTAATAAAGACGATTAAGTAGGATCTGATTTACATATTTAAAAGCACACTTGGCTCTTTGTGGGAGATAGATTGAAAGAGGGCGAGAAAGGTAACTGGAAGCGAGTTTGGAGGCAGTTGCATTGGTCAAAGTCACAAATGATGGTGACTTAGAGTATGGTAATGGCAATAGAGACAGAAAAAGATGTGGATAATTTCAAGATATCCATAAATTGGATATGGAATCTAAGGGACTTAATGAATTGTGTTGCTGGGAAGGGACAAGAAAAAAAGAGTATTAAGGATGACTCCTTAAGTAATGGATTAAGAAGCCATTTACTGACTCAGAGAACAAAAAGGGAGCATTTAAAAGTACCTCAAATTCAAAATGCATATTTTGAATTTGAGGTACTTTTAAATGCCTGTCAAGCAGTTTTGTATGTCTAGAGTTCAGAAGAAAGATTTGGGTACATTTTTAAAATGTGGTTATTGAAGTGAATTTATATGGCCATTCTACTCCTAGAAATACATTCAACAGAAACATATTCATATGTTCACCAAAAGATATATGTTTGGGGGGGGCTGGGGTTGTGGCTCATCGGTAGACCGCTTGCCTAGCATGTGCAAGGCTCTCGGTTCTATCCTCAGCACCACATAAAAAATAAATAAAATAAAGATATTTTTTAAAAAGATATATGTGTGCATGGATTTCATAGCATGAATAAACTTTAGAATATTCACATAGTAGAATACTATAAAAAGAAAAAAGAATAAACAATCTATAACTATACACAAAGCATGAATGAATCACAATCATGAAACTCAGTGAAATAGGTCAGACACAAAAAATACATACAACATGATTCTACATATAATGTTCAAAGCCAAAAATATTATACATTTATAGAAGTTGGGATATTGGTTACCCTCATGTAGCATTCATAATTGAAAAAAGACACTAAGGGATATGGAATATGCAATGAATGAAAATTCACCAAGCTATAGGCCTATAATTTGTGCAGTTTTTCAATGTGTATTCTTTTATTCTATGGAAAGTTTACATTTTAAAATGATAAGGGTGATCCAGCCACAATTAAGTACTACCAGGAGACTAAGTCTCTCCCATAAGTAATAGAAAACAAGATTAAGTCTATGGAAGGAAAGCATTGCACAATTCAGGCATAGTAAGATTTTTTTAAAAAAATATATATATATATTTTAGTTGTCAATGAACTTTTATTTTTTTATATGTGGTGCTGAGAATTGAACCCAGTGCCTCACACATGCTAGGCAAGCACTGTACCACTAAGCTACAACCCCAGTCCCCAGGCATATGGAGATTTTTTAGTTATAGATGGACACAATATCTTGATTTTGTTTATTTATTTTTATGCGGAGTTGAGGTTCAAATCCAGTGCCTCACAGGTGCGAGGCAAGTGCTCTGCCACTGAGCTACAACCCCAGCCCCAGGCATAGTAAGATTATGATTCTGAACAGAAGGAAAACAAACAAGATGAACCCCAAACTTTCTCCAGATTGCTATCTGTTATTTACCTAAGCAAAACCTCTTCAGCTTTTGTTTGGGCTAATTTAGCCTTATTGCTACAATGTGACCTTTCTAGGATCTCTTTTCTAAATGCCAAGGTTTTTAATAAGATTTCCCAATTCCAGTTATTCAGAACTTGAGTGTTTCCAAATTCTATTCAATTCTAGTAGTTGATCAGTTTAAATTTCCCAGTAGTTTTTATTTACCAGCCCCATAGAGTCTATCTTTAAGCCTACAATTGAAAGTCACAGGAAAGGAACAAAAAGTACCAGAAAGATGAATATGTAAAAATTTATCTAATGTAATTATTTTTCTTTAAAATTGGTTCCAGAACCCCCAGGGTTTTGGTATCTGAAGATTCTCAAGTACCTTATATAAAATGACATTTGTGAGCCAAGGAACTGAATAGACACTTCTCAGAAAAGGATATACAATCAATCAACAAACATATGAAAAAATGTTCACATCGCCAGCAATTAGAGAAATGCAAATCAAAAACTACTCTAATATTTCATCTCACTCCAGTCAGAATGGCAGCTATCAAGAATACAAACAACAAGTCTTGGCGTGGATGTGGGGAAAAAGATACACTCACACATTGCTGCAAATTGGTGCAACCAATATGGAAAGCAGTATGGAGATTTCTTGGAAAACCTGGAATGGAACCACCATTTGACCCAGCTATCCTACTCCTCCACTTACACCCAAAGGACTTAAAAACAGCATACTACAGGGACACAGCCACATCAATGTTTATAGCAGCATAATTCACAATAGCTAAATTGTGGAACCAATCCAGATGCCCTTCAGTAGATGAATAGATAGGGAAACTTTGGTATAGATACACAATGGAACTTTACTCGTCATTAAAAGAGAATAAAATCATGGCATTTGCAGGTAAATGGATGGAGTTGGAGAATATAATGTTAAGTAAAGTAAGCCAATCCCCAAAACACAAAGGCCAAATGTTTTCTTTGATATGAGGATGCTGACTCATAATGGCAATGGAGGGGGAGCATGGGAGGAATGGAGGAACTTTAGATAGGGCAAAGGGGAGGGAGGGGAAGGGAGGGGGCAAAGGGGTAGGAATGATGGTGGGATGAGATGGACATCATTAACCTAAGTACATGTATGTAGACACAAATAGTGTAAAAATACTTTTGTGTACAATCAGTGACTTGAAAAATTGTGCTTCATATGTGTAATATGAAATGAATTGCATTCTGCCATCATGTATAACAAATTTGAATAAATAAATAATTTAATTTAAAAAATGGCATTTGCATGTGACCTATGCACATCCTCCTATATGTTTTAAATCATCTCTAGATTACTTATAATACCTAATACAAGTCCATGCTATGATAATAATTTGGGGGAATAATGAAGAATTAAAAGTCTGTACATGTTCAATACAATGAAAATTTTTTCCCAAAATATTTTAAAACTGCACTTGGTTAAATCCATGGATGTGGAACCCATGGATATGGAGAGCTGACTATACCATTACAAGGTTCTAACATCATATGTGAAGTGATATAATATTATTTGAAGGTAAAATGTGATAGAAAGAATAAAATAGGTAACTAAAAACTAACAATCCAATTTAAAGATTAAAATTAGAGAACTATAAAATAATTAATTCAAAAGAAAAAAAAAGTGGGAAGTGGAACAAATAACAAGGCAAAGAAAAAGCAAATAATATGATAGATTTAAACCTAACCATAGTAAAAATTATAATAATGCCAATGACCTCAACACTGCAATTTAAAACCAAATATTGTCCTTTTGGATTTTTTTAATATATTTTTTTTTAGTTGTAGTCGGTCACAATACCCTCATTTTATTCATTTATATGTGGTGCTGAGGATTGAACCCAAGCCCCTGCACGTGCCAGGTGAGAACTCCACCGTTGAGCTACAACCCAGCCCGTTTTGGGACTTTTTAAAAAACGCATTACCCAACTATATGCC